CATGTACTTATTCATAAAGAAAAAGAGGTCCACAAAGATGACGAAATTGAGAAATGCAAAATGTGCAAACCAATCAAATAAGGATTATTTAAGTTTGCCCGTGATAATCATAAATGTGGGACTTCGTTCACGCTCCTCATTGATTCCTTCGATTCACGCAATACGATCAAATTGAATTTTAATCGACCTCATTTACTCCTAAGTTGTGAAACACAGGCATGTCTGGATGATAAAGAATGCCAAACTTAATTTATGGAATTATTAGTTTTGTGGAGAGCTTATCAATCTTCTACAACGTAACTAAAAAGAACTAGAAACACTAGAACCATAAACTGAAATTTTGAAAAACATTTCATTTAAAACATCATATTTCGAGACGTTTTATTATGTGTCTACATATAAATCTAAATCGTGCAGGGCGAAAATTATTTTTATTATTTGCTATTAGTTACATAGTTAATCAGTTACTATTAGTTAATTAATGAATTTTTCGACGAAGTAATTGTACGTTCTCTTCTTATATACTCTGACACGGTTTTTCCTCCTAAGTTGTTATTTTTTCCTCGTCTAATTAGATACCTTTTTTGAAAGATTGTTGCCTGCGGTGAGTAATGATGTACATGATTTTGTTTAACATTTCGTCAAAATTAAATTTCTGTCTGTTATGTATTCACATGACAAGAGGACGTTCACCTGTGACATCAAAAATATAGGCTATTTCAGGAGCAATTGAGGAATTAATGACAACATAATTAATGGCTGTGAAAAGTGCAAACATTATTTTAAAACTTGAGGAATGGAAACAGATAAAATAGAAAGGGAGAGCAGTGCATCCGGTAAATCATCGATGGAAAAGAAGTAATTATATAATATTAATATGGCTCTTAACATTCTGAAAATTTTCTTAGATCCAAGGCAAATTAATCGTTATCATAAAAAAACTAAGGTATACTTAATTTTCATGAATAGAAAATTGTCCATGGGTGCTTCTTTTCAACAATCATAGGGTTATTGTCGGTAACGGTTCTATTTGTTTTACTTCGCTTTGAAAATCTTACGCCTTGATGGGAACATTGAAGTGGAAGTAATGATTTAATTGTAAATTGAAGAAGCGAATCCTCTTTGGAATTAGAAATAAAACTCGAAGTCGTGAAGGATCGACTCTTCGTGGCTCTTAAAAATAGATTTATTCTTCAGTGGAGTGTATGAAATATTAAAGATGGACGCCAGGGATAACGCGATCACGATTTCAGTGTTATAAAATGTCCACCTGCTGTCGCAGCAAGGTTCCGCGTAGCCATGGAATTCTGTTTCATAAAACTTCTGCCTTTGTTGGTGATTTTAAGCAGTTTCGTCGGAGCTTATAATGTTCCAGCCCGCAACAATTCGATTCAAAGATCGTTGTCGCCGGCGACCATAGAACTGTTACTCCGAAACCAACAAGACACAGAAGAAAGCGATGATCCACTTTTCAAGTGTCCCCCAAAACCGAACAAAGATATCTCGATTTTCTACACGAGTGACAGATGCAAATTAATAGAAGCAGTCACGGAAGCTAGNTAGAGATAATATTCTAAAGTAAACGTTTTGCAAATATTTCAAATGTCAGCTAAATATTTATAAAATGTACGATATTCGTTAAATATATAGAAAATATAGGCCAAATATTTTGTGCTACAAGGGATGTATATTAGGCACACGTTCTTCAGAACGTGAAATCGTGACTGTGTACAAGCGTAATACCGTTTACACCTGTGATATTTTTTAACACCTGTGGTTTAACACCGATAGATGCATTCTTATATATACGACACGTGTCTTATCAAGATGCAAAATCGAAGCCAAAATTTCAGGATTTCTGAACATGTAAAATTTGTAATATGACTTATCTAATAAAGTACGCTATTGAAAAGATAGGGAATAGCTGACTTGGTAGACGGAAATACAGTCATTTATTTTTTCCATTGGTTACACTCTTTTCTGGGATTTTAACGAGTGTTGCAATTGATCTTTGTTTTTATTCAAATATTTACGGTCCGTCAAGATTTAATCGCAACGGGTAAGAAACGACGTCTATGACGACAGACTTTGCAAGATGACGATTTAATGGTTCTAAAGAAATGGAAAGTGAATCCTTTTTTTACGTACAAAATGACTTTCTTACAAGATGCAGGTACACTATGTACGGTTGCCATTGCACGAATTGCTGCGTGGCACAAATCGTGATGGGGACAAACTTTATATCGGAAAGCCTTAACACATTCTTTATCTTTGGTTTTACATTGCTTGACGAAAATTCGTACAGACTATCTAAAATACGGAGTAATAGAATATTTGGTTGCACGCTCGCATCGCTGACTTACGCGGGATTTTCCCGAACCCCACAAAAAATCCTTTCCCTTCGGACTCGGCGACCTCAAGTGCCCCGGGGGCGCCGAGAATCCAGCCACCAGGTTCGACCCTCGTCCCTCTCCCTCGCTCACATGGCCGAGTCCCATCCGAGCGTTCTCCCCCTGGGGGCCTACCCCTCTTCCGCCGGCGAGTTGGGCTCCCGGGTGCCATTGTCCGGCACACGTCGCCCTTTTGACCCGTGCACCTTCGCGCCGGGCCTGCTCGTCCGGCGTTCACTCCGTGCAAGGAAGTAAAGAGACGAAAAATTCCTAGGAAAATTCCCCGATCGCGGGATCGTGCTCCACGCGATTCGAATCCCGCAATCGGGCGTAAGACCCCCCTCTCACTGCCTCCCCCGGTCCCTCTGAGCCGTGACCCGGAAGGAGGTCACCTGAGGGCCCAAATCGGGCCTCGGCCTTACCCCATTACCGTCCCCCACCCCTTTGACTTCCCGCACCCCTTTTAATCACCCCTCCACTCCACGAGGGCCAGGCGACCGCAAGATTAATCGAAAAGATCAGATCAAACTGGGGCCGTGACGACATCGGGATTCCGGTTTCAGCGCCTCCACGTCGCCCTGGAAAAATTCTACGGAGTACTCCACTAGGACGAGAAAACCCGGTGTAGCCTCGCCAAATAGTGATTAGAGAGAGAAGTCCCCTTAAGGGACGGAGCTAGAATAAAATAGCGATAAGGTTCTTTGTAGTATAAATACGGGTTCTCCGGGACTCGTAGACAGTCGACTTTTCCCGGTCCGCTGCGAACGGCCCGAGGCTCTACCATCCGAAAATACAGCATTTCTCTTCTCGTAACTGACAAGGAAGGTATCCCAGGTCGATCTCCCCGATTTGCTTTCTCTTATAATATGTTATAGTAGACTAAAAACTAAGCGACACGTATTTTTTTTATCTGCCATTAAACATTTTAAGGGAGTGAAATCACCATCCAAAGTAGGGCCTGTGACGCTCACCCCTTAATTTTTTTTTTAATTGAGAAAATTGTATTTTTCATTTCTCGCTTTGAGAAAGCTTTTGCAGGTGGATTGGTTAAAAAATATTATGTTCTTATGAGTGAAACTGCTAAATCGCCCCTTGACATGCCTTACTTTGGACGGTGGTTTCACCCCCTTAAAGTGTTTAATGGCAGATAAAAAAAATACGTGTCGCTTAGTTTTTAGTCTTCTATAACATAATATATAAGAAATCAAATCGTAGAGATCGACCTGGGATACCTTCCTTGTGAGTTTTATCGCTTGCTTGTCGCGGAAACCCCGGACCCTCCGGGCTTACGGCACGAGTGCGCCCCACGGTACGCCCGCGCCTCGAAACCTTGCCACCTTTTCGCGTTGCGGCGTACGACCTCCTGGGGTAGCACTGGGGTAACACCCTCGCTTCGCAGCGTTCCGCGCTCTGGCGCTCCGCTCCGCGAGACCGGATCCCATGGACAGGGGACGTACGGCACCCCTGTGCGTCCCCACGAGTCCACGAGTAGGAACGGAGCGAAGGGAAAGCAAAGGGCAAGGGGAAGGGGAGGTTGCTACCTCCGATGCCCCAGCCACCACCTCGTAAGGGAGGGGGTTGCCGGATCACACGGGCACGCGCCAGGAGGCGCGCCGCCACGGAGGCCGCGAAGGCCAAATCTTCCACGCCGACTTCCGCTCCCGCCACCGTTGCGATTCCCCCCCCCCCCTCCGCGATTCCGACCACCGCCCCCGCCGCAACCAAGGACACTCCGCGCCGCGAGTGCACATCAGGTCGTGGTATGAGTGACGCGAGCGCGCCTCTCGCCCCGCAAGGACACTACGTGCCGCGGAAGGGCAACTACTAGAACGCTTAAGGACGAATTCCGAGAACAATTTTATTCCACTCGAATACTACAATTGCATCTACACATTTAAAAATCTTAACTTATTCCATAGTGAATCATTGTGTAATACAATAATTTTCATGATCGCTGTCTAGCAAAAAGGCGTTTAAAACGTTTGTTTGATTTCTGACGACAACGTTACTTTTTTCTTTTTTTAATTAAAATGCGATTTTTTGCAAATAACAATTCGTTATTGAAAACCACATTTACTACTTGTAGTACGTCCAAAAATGTCGGGAACTTCTCTGTTTTATTTATTTTCAATGCAGATGTATACTCATTTTAATTGTTTCAGAGAAAAAAGAGAATTCTGCAGTAATTGTACTTGCCGCGAAAAATTAAAAAAAATGGCGGTAAAAAATGTCACTATTCCATCAAGTGTACGTCGAAGAATTTTTTAAGTTTTGAAGTCATTAAAAGAAGTTTAGCCAACTGTTTCTATATCAAGGCCTCGTGTAATTCTGCGATGGTGTATTAATTTCGGTTTACTACTTGCTATTATCTCATCATAACGTATGATAATCGTGACATTACATAATCAAATACCCTTTACACATGTGATACCTTTTAACCCTTGTGGATGTCCATATTTTATAAGTACTACACATGTCTTATCAGAATGCAACATCGTAGCTCAGATTTCAGTTTTTCTGAGCATGTAATATATGTAATGCTGGCGCCAATATAGAGAGTAATCAGCTTGATACAAGAAAATTCAGTCGTTTATTTTTTCCAAAGGTTACACTTTTTCCTGGGGTTCATAGGACTTCCAGCAGGACAGTGGAAAGCTTTACTGAAATCAGGATTGTTCGAAAGTGAGCCTATTACTCTGAAGGAATGGTCACTGTGGCTGTCCATCCACTTTCCTGTTAAACGTTGTTCGACAATCTGTGGATCTGCGTACTGGCACCAAATCTATTAAAATCAAATATGATGTTTTATGATAATTTGTATCGATAGAAAATTTGACGAGAGAACACTTTTAACCCTTTGGCTAAACAAATTTTTTAAAACAAGGAATATGGAAATTCATTTTTGCTTACATTTGCATTCGCCACAAAGAAAAGTTGTTCATTTGTGAAATTCTCAAGACCAGGAAGTCTCGGTTGTTCCACCCATTTTGATCTCAATTCAAAAGCATCAAAAGCTGCTTGCACTCCAGCTGTATCTGCTACGTCTTCCATCGACGTAGACAGTTTATTTTCCTGCGAAGATTTATTTACATGATAACTTGAATAATTTACCTAATTGCAGAATATTTATAGTGTTATCATTAAGATTGATCCTTTACCGGAGGTGGTATATTCAATTTCTGTAACTTTTTCAAACGAAACTCATTGTACTGCTGGGAAAAGCAACGTCCTCTGGTGCTGTGTTCTTTAAATGATGGAACTGCAATTAAAAAGATTTTCCGTCTAAAATACGTACAAAATTCGGTGACATTCTGAAAAGAATGTTAATCAATGAATAACTTACTTCCTCCTGGAAAAGCGTGTGATATTTCGTGGCCAACAAGAGCACCTACTCCTCCAAAATTGATGGCACTAGAATATTTACAGACAGAATAGAATGTCATTATGGGAAAACTTTAAAAATAGGTATAGAAAATTTGGAGGTATATAAACATTTTACTTACTCGGGGCCTCCAAAGACATAAAATGGTGATTGTAATATGGCAGCTGGGATGACTGAAAAACATTAACAATTAAATTACATTATATTGTCACAAAGCAATGTATGTTAAAAATGTTTTCTTTTATGAATGTTTTCTTTTATGAAGGACTTACGTATTGCGTTAAGCCCTCCTTGGTAATATGCATTGGCCGTGAAAGGACTTGCGAACCATCTGAAAATAAGATACTTTTATTAATATTCTTGCTCACCTAAAAAATTGCATAATCGTTTAGGAAAAATTAAAAACAATTCGTACTCTGGCGGTGCTTGATCCAATTTTGTTCGTTTTACTGGATCTAGGGTTTGCAATTTCTCCAACTGCTTTTCCCTTTCACTTGTTATCATGTTTTTGAAATAGGAGTTACGTACAGTGTACTGTGAAAATACATGTGATCAATTTAACGGTAGATCATAATCCCAAAGTAGAACAAATTTAGTGAAATAGTATTTAGTATTAGTTTTTTACCTTTTTATACCGGTTATTGAGAGCCGTTTCGTTCTTGTACCAATTTGGAAATCCGATCAAGTCTTTCATGGTCCTTAATCGTTCAACTGCATTCTGTTTTGTTTCCCAATTTGTCATGGTAGAGTGCAAAATACGCATTTCGATTTGTGCCTTGATTTCACGAAGCATTCTCCTGATCTGTTAATAATATTGCATAAATAATGTTCATTGTATGCGCCTTTCAGTGTTAAACAAATATGCATAAATATTAGAACAAGATTGATTTGAAATAGCAACATGTATTGTTTTGACGCCACTTTCTTATATTGAAAATAAAATACAAATATTGATAATATGTTGTTAATTCGGTAGAGTCTCACTCAAGCTTTTATTATTCGGCGCTCTGAGTTTCTCGCACAAATGTATTTGTCCTGAAACTCTACTGATTTTCTTGATATTTCTCCCGTTTCTACTGACTATAAATACTTACGTCTATCTTGGCTTTATTCATGGCAGATTTCTTTAAATACTGGTGAATAATTCCGTGGTCGTAGGGATTTTCATACAGACACTGCCGTTTCCTGAAAGAGAACATGAATGTTTGATCAATAAAAATTCAAGCAATATGTGTATTAATTTGTGAACAAATTATTCTTGTACCTTGTGGGTACCACTTGTCCGATAGTGTTTGTATCAAAATTGTTCCGAAGATCTCTCAACCGTTTTGTCGAGTATTTCATTGCGTGTCTCACAAATCGCCAGTGTGCACTATTTACTGTAGAAATATAGAAAAAATGAATTCATCCTTACTGAGAAATACGAGGTACATTGAATATAACATAAATAAATTATTTTCGTTTTACCGATCGTACGAATTGGTGTGTAATCGAGTAGATTAGCGAGGTAGCGGAAGTAATTTTCACCAATGACTTTTATCGGCCACGAGTCTGTGATTTTGATGTCCGTACCCAAGAATAAATTTCGAATGACCTCAAGCCAGTTAATCTGAAATAATAATACGTATCAGACTTCGTTTCTTTTTTTAATATTTGAGAGATTTAAATATATCTCTTCGTAGTCACCATGACTTTGATCTTATCGAATATTTTTGTTTCATAATAATTAGCAGCTGGAAATATTTACATTTATTCAATTACCTTTGATCTGTCACTGCTTGGCCACGCATTGTCATAAAATATCTGGAATTCGGAAATGTTTAACGATTTACTCTGTCCGGACTTGTCTGAAGAAGTAGAATCCCTCTGAATCTGCAATGATACATCGTGGCGTGTGAGGAAGTATAAAAAATTATTGTGAAGAAGGAATATTGAAAATAATGGAAAAAATGATTTACCTGGGCAAGCTTTAATTCGAATAATACCATATCATTAATATCATTAAGGATATCACTGTCAGAAACATTGGATCCGCTGAAACGTACAAATTCCTTGACCACATCCTTTATGAACGTTCTGTACTCATCTATTTGACTTCTGTAATTCATTCTATCGTTGAGCATATCTAATGGCAATCCTAATGGAGGTGGCTGAATCTGAAGAAAAACAAATTTAGAAGAAATTGTTATACAATAATGACCCTGTACAGTGATTATTCTTTATTACATTTAACGTTTATTTTATTCTGAACATTTTGTTTTATTTTGTCATTTTCTCATATTTGAAAAACGTAAATTTACAATTTTACAAATTTAAATTTACAAATTTACGTTTATCAGAATACAAAATAAAATGTTCTGTGACTTTGAATTTTAGGAAAGAAATTTTATATTCTTATTTCTTCGTAAATATTCCCTTACTGTCAGCGTAGTATAACTCTGGCCTCTGCCTAAGGTGTAAAGAAACGAACTTCCAATAAATCGCGAAAAATAATTATCAATATCGATCCACTTGTGACTGTTCAGATTCCATTTTGACTTTTCCATTGTTATTGGCCAACCGCCAACTGAATCCAACATTTGTTTGAATTGATTCAATTCTTCCGCATATATAGTATCTACACAAAAATAATTCGTTGATGTTGATGACTAAATTTATCATAATGAAGTAGTTTAATTAGTAAACAAAAAAATATAATCACCGGCGTATAAGCACATTCTGTATACCGCTTTTGCTTTCCTTACTACAAAAATGTCGTCTTTCTTGGGCATCTCTGATAATATTTCTGTAGAGCATAAAAATCACATTAAAATTAACTATGCCCAAATTTAAGCACAGTCGGATATACTTGGTCTAGTTGCATATTAATGTGTGGAAAATTGTTTAAAAAGTTATACTTTTCAGCATAAATTATTAATGCCACTTTTTATATAGGTACATATTAAGTTATTTAGGTTAATTTGAATTTACTAGTACCTTCGGTTTGTGTCCACATCTTTTTTTTCAGAGCGGAAAATTGAGTCCAAAGAACATAATTATCTGGAATATTTGGTTTTTCAGCCCATTTCCCACACGCGAATTCATAAAAATCGACACAGGGGTCGACGCTTGTATTTAAATTTTGTTTGAGATCGTCAGCTAAAAATATTCGGTTTGATTAGTTTCCTTCTCACGATTTTGCATTATTAAGATTGAACCACACCTTCGACATTAACCTTATATATTATAATAATTTGTTATTTACCGATTTCTACACATGTTTTAGTTGTACACACATTGTAACGCGGTTTTTCCACTTCATTTTCTCGACTTTTGGTGTCATAATAATTCTTTACACTTGTTTTAGTTGGATAATTATAGCACGTAATACTCGTGGAAATCATTAGAATTAGGCATACCTGGAAACTAAAATCGAAGTCGGAAATCATTTCGTGTTAACGTTTGAATATTGACATTAATACTATTACAACGAATTATTAATATTTTTTACTCACAGTCCGTTAATTCCAAGCGGAATTTTAGTAACTATACTTGTGGGGGAATCTCGTGACACCATTTTCATTTTTACTGTCTCGAGGACGTTTTACAGAGTTCAGTAATGATTGATGATATAATTTTCTTCGAAGTACAAGTTTTCCATGAAGGAAGATCCACGGTCTTATCGTGGATCGCAATTTGAAGTTAAATTGAAATCTTTCAATTGGATCTAGACCTCCGC